GAATTGTTGTGGGGAGGAAGAAAGAGTAAAAGAAAAAAATACGGATCAAATGAAGAAAAAAAAAAAACGCGTCATACCGCAATACGATAATTCCAGATTCTATGCGGCAAAAACACAAGCCAAGGAAAGATGTGGTTGAACTTGGTTGGAAAAGTTTTACCGCATCCCATCATTTCATATTCATCCGATATTACACCATCGAATTATCATTTGTTTATATCTACGAAAAACATTCTCTCGTAAAAAATAAAAACTTTATCGCGATGTCGGCGACTTTTATATTAATTTATCAAGAATGAAATTTCTCTTCATAAAATTTACAATATTTTTATAAAATGAAATATGGATGACAAATGATCTGAAGAAAGATAAATAATAATGGATAATATATAATTGATTAGAAAATAATAATAATAATAATAATAATAATAATAATAATAATAATAATAATAATAATAATAATAATAATAATAATAATAATAATAATGATAATGATAAAAATAAAATTAAATTCGTAAGAAATTAATTTTAATGATTATTTATGGCTAACTATAATATGTACTATCGATACATTTCAAATATTTTGAACTATGATCAATTTGTTCCATTATTATCATTATATGATTCTTTTATCGATTATATTTCGACGTTATTTGCGATTTCGTCGATGTTATTTTAACACGATTTTCATCATCTTTGACCTTGAATTAGGCAAACTTATCGACATTCCAATTATTGGATGAAAATCGAAGCAAAAATATCGTAATTTAATTCATGATATATTAGATTACAACTTTTCAATCGAAGATTAGTATTAAACGATAAGTTTAATAACAAACTTTGGAGTTATCGATTTGTTTAGAATCGACAATCGATTAAAATCGAACCAATGTTTTAATAGAAAATATTTGTGTGACGTTAAAAAAGAACACAAAAACGAAGAGTCATTAAAATATATAGATATACTATTTAATGACCAAAATTTTCAAAGACATTAAATAAACAAGCTTTCGTGTTAATAGAGATATTTTTGTATGAATTAAAAGAGAATTATCTAACTATCAAAAGAAAAATATTATTTTTTTTTATTAATTAAACACAATATTAAATACGAGACGCTGTAATGTGTATCGTTCAACAGCAGTCAAAAATATGCCTAACGTTCGTAAAAAAAAAATAAAAAAAAAAAATAAAAAATATAAATTAACACTCTAATAACAAAGTGAAATAATATTTTTACTTTGATAACTTTTATCTTTATTCAACCTCTTTTTTTTTTCTTTTTACTCTTTTCTTTTCTCTCTTTCTTTTCTTTTTTTGTTCTTTTTTTGTTTTTTGTTTGTTTTTTTTTTTTTTTTCTTAAGCACTACAATACCACGAAGATAATTCTTTAACTAATTCTTTCTAACGTTTATGTCTCTGAGACTATTTAAGGTTTTTAAAAACACTTTTGAATCTTTATTCGTTTCATGTTTCAAATTAGACGCAAAGTTTCACCGAACTAATACACAATGCGTATATGCATTTACACGCTTATCTACTTTTATTATTATAGACGGAACGTCTTAAAATTTGCACCATAACATAAAGTCACTTAGTAAACGAAGTTCCAACGGAGTGAATTTACAATTTCAAAATTTGCGATTACTTTTCAAGATAAGGTAAACCAAATTTCTATAGAAAAAAATTAAATAGAAATAAAAAAAGAAAAAAAAGAAAAAAAAAAAGAAGAAGAAGAAAAAGAAAAGGAGAGAATTCGCGAACGTGAACGTTAATACGAAATTAAATAAAAGAGAATAAAAAATAAATTAATTAAAAAAAAAAAAAAAGAAGAAAAAAAGAAAAAAGAATAGAGCCGCGAAATATATTTTTTCTTCCTAAAAATTGCAAAATATAAATATTTTTTCATTATAGATTTTCAACGAGACATATAGCATGTCTTCCCTGTGACACACGGTATAATATTGTATATCGAAAAAATATCACTTAGTTCATATCAAGAACGATATATAATTCAATTCATTTTTATTCATAAAGAAAAATCGCTAAGGCACTCTTCCGCACGATCGAAGAAATTTATCGATAATAATTCTGTATAGTTGTTTGATACAAATGATGAAAATGATGAAAATGAAGAAAATGGAATACCTGACGCTATATCAGACGGGAGTAGTTCTTCTTAGAGCTGCGAAGGCCCACTCGGTACCTCTAACGGGTGTAGGTGGTGGTGCTGGATCCTCGAGGTCAAAGGTCACGAACTCATGGCGGACGCTTGGACTGTAATCGGTGTCGGGCTCCGGTACATCCTCCTCCTGCTGCAGTATGTCCGCCGTCGTGCTCACCTGGAAGGTCGTTTTCGAGAACGAGTAGAAATCTAAAATGGAGTATCAAATGCCGGATTATCACCGGTTGCTAAGGTTACCGACACGATCTTCACCTCCTTCGTGGAAGAACTAGACTCGAGATAAAGGAAGAGAGAGAAAGAAATATAAAAAGAGAAAGAGAGATAAAGATAGAGTTAGAGAGAAAGAGAGAGAGAGAGAGAGAGAGAGAGAGAGAGAGAGAGAAAGAGAAAAAGTGAAAGAGAGAGGAAGAGAAAGGGGAGAAAGAGACAGCTTGCTAGAGATCGAAACTTCATTGAAGAATGAACAGCCAAATATTAGCAGATCCGGATTACTTATACGCGTAGAGTAGTATCTCGTCCTTTGGTTCGTTGTTTTATTATTTTCTATTGAAATGAAATTTTATTCGAATTCGATTTTATCCCCTTACCGTTTGAGCAGTGAGATCTCTTGGAAATTGTCTGCCGGTGTAACCGTAATGATCCAAGTTCGGTGGTGGTGGTAAAAACTCATCGAAATCGACGTAATCGACGGAATCCCTTCCAAAGAAGTATCTCTTTTGGTGTCTCTCGCAGATAAAATTACCATGGCCCAATGCGGCATGATTGCCATGATGTACGTGATGATTATCCAAGTGATAAACGCCCTGCTACGCCCGAACGAAATTCAATGAGAATTAAAATATTTTTTTTTCTTTCTTTTTTTTTTTTGTTTTTTTTTGTTTTTTCATTTTTTTCCTTCCTTTTTTCTTTTTTGTATTTTTTGTTTTCGCCATCTTCTTCTTTTTCTTCTTTTCTTTTCTTTTCTTTTTTTTTTTCTTTTCTTTTTTCCTTCTTTCCCTTCTTTTCTTAAGATCATCGATTTAATCATATTCGTGAGACCAGAAAGAGAAGAAAAAAAAAAGAAAAAAAAAAGAAAAAAAAAAGAAAAAAAAAAGAAAAAGTCAAGAAAAGAAAAAGAAAAAAATACATAGCCGATACTACCAACCCCATAATTTTTCCGTCTCAAGTCCTTTCGTACCAATTCTCGCTGGTGCCAGGATATATATAGAAAAATGGCGTATGTACCAGCCACCTCGGTAGTGATGAAGCCGCTCACATATAGAAGAAAGGAGAAGCCGTATCTATACGTAAAAGGAGGTCCCTGCAATAACAAAAGTACCAAGTGATACATATGTATGTATGCATGTATGTATATATGTATGTATGGTACGATATATATATATATATATATATATATATATATATATATATATATTCGCATAGAGAGAACTTATGTAATTTATATCTTTTCACCTAACTCCAATTTAATTCGACTTAAGTGTCGTCCTTAGAAATATCACTTTTTCATATGAGAGAAGAAAAGGACGTTTACTTAGAAAAAGAAACAAAAACAAAAAAATAATAATAATAATAATAGTAATAATAAAATAAATTAAAATAAATAGAAACGATTAAAAAAAAGAAAAAACAGAATTTGATTTACCTGAAACGATGATCGTGGCCTGAGTTTGCTGCCAACTTCGGCTTTAAAAATTGATATGTACATGACCATTCCAACCAGCATTAGTAACCCTGTAGGAATAATCAAAATTTAAAACGCGCGAGCCATACTTTCGATAAAATATTTAAAACGTCGCTTATCGGTATTTAGTTTTTACGATGTGAAATTATTTCAAAATTTAATCCTATTTAAGCTTAATCCTGTCCAATCAGAATTAACGAATGAACAGTACGTAATCCTTTCATATGACTGCTACTATATTTATACGATTAATAAAAAGATTTATAATTTTATACGAGGGTGAAATTTGTTGTTTTTCTTTTTCTTTTTTTTTGTTTTTTTTTTCCTCAAAACGAAACACCCAGAATATTCGGAAAACATTTTGTAAAGCATTTTTTAAAGGAAACTTTGAAACAAAAATTGTTTGGTTCCGGCCAATGGGAATGGGAGAGAGCAAGAGGAGAAGCCGAGCAAGCATAACAGCGTTACTTTTTTTTTTCTGATTCAATGGACGTTTTCTAGGTCATTTCAAGATCAACTTTGTATATTTCTTTTTTCTCTCTTTCTTTTTTCTTTTTCTTTTTTTTTTTGTTTTTTTTTTTTATGAAAGACAATCTTTTCAACAATATCTCTTATTTTAAGAAACAAAAAGATCAAATAACTTTCGTTTCGAATTTTTTTCCCATTTTCAATTTTCATTCTTCCTTTTATTCTTCTATTTCCATTCTGAAAAACAATATTATTCTCGAGATATTTTTAGATGTCACAATTAGAGTAAGGAGAACAAAAAAAAAAGAAAAAGAAAGAGAAAAGAAAAAAGAAAAATAAAAAGAAAAGAGAGAGAAAACTCAATCTGTATAACGCATAATATAGGATTATTATTATTATTAATTTCTTCATTACATAAACCGTCAGACATTATTTAGAAAATCTCTTTTCTATCACTTTTATAATCAGTCGAGCTTACGTTAATGGATTTATCTTTATGAATTTAAACGAAAAATATCATCATCATCTCCTTTAATCCTTTCATTTATTTATTTTCTTTTCTTATTCTTTTTGTTTTCTTCGTTTTTTTTCTTTTTTTTTTTTTTATTTTTTATTCGATCTCATCCTCGTCCAATTATCGCCTACGAGAGAATAAATGAGAATTTTCATTTACCATATCTTATTACTTACCTGAAACTATAAATACTACGCCAGCTACGAAAACGCAAAGTCTGTGCCTCGGATGCGTAATGTGTGCGGCGAAATAACAAACTTCCGCGATTACGAGCAACGACGTCGCCGCAAAGAAAAACATGGCTGACTTTGTAACTGCATCTAAAATGGCAAAAAGGAGAAAAGGAAATAAAAAAGAAGGACGTTAAGTCAAAGTGAAAACGACAAAACAATCATCATTAAAATTCATGAATTTTCATGACAAATAAATGGAGAGACAAAGACAGAGAAAGAGAGAGAGAAAGAGAGAGAGAGAGAGAGAGAGAGATCTGATTTTTTGATAATATTTTCCTCCTTCAAAAAAAAAAAAAAAAAAAAAAAAAAAGCAGAAGAAGAATTTCATTCAAACTACAAATAAAATACTCGAGGAAAATTATTAAGTATTAAGATGAATTAAATTTTAAAAATAATTGAACAATTGAACGTTTTGTTATTAAAATTTTACATTTATAAAATTAATTCGAATATACATCTTTTTCATTCGATTTTTTTTTTCTTTTTTCTTTTTTTTTTTACCTCCTTTAATACATATCTCTTCGACAGACGTAATATCTCACATCTCCTATTTTTTCTTTTTTTTTTTTTTTTTTGGTAGGATATAAAAAATTTCTCATAACTCATATGAATATAGTTAATACTACGGGAAAAACGATTCGTACGACTTAACTTTTTATAAAAACAAAATTTTTTTATTTTATTCGTTACGGAATTTTTATTCAATTTATCGAGAACATTATTTGAATTTTATTTTATATCGTTTAATGTAAGATATCATTTTAAATTACGACATAATTGAATATCTTCGATCCTATAAACGAATGTTTTCAAATAAAACTTTCTAACTTTTAAAGGGCTAGCTAGAAGGGAAATCGATTTGCAGGTATTTCATAACAGGACAATTTTATCGGGATACGGAAAAAAAGAAAAAAAAAGAAAAAACAATGTTTTTATTAAATTGATATTTTTCACACGTCATTAAATTTATTTCATTGCAATTTATTGCGTTGTCATTCAAAAAAAAAAACAAAAACAGAACAAAAGAATATATCGAAATCGTGAAATCTATAAAGCGTAATGAAACGAGCAAAAAATTTGTCACGTAATTTTCCCGAATTGCTGCAAAACGACTTTTAATTTTCCCAATATGTTTCGTACGACCAACGAAAAGTTTATTACATTGCCGAAATCGTAGAAATTATTTCAAAAAAAGGAGAGAGAGAGAGAGAGAGAGAAAAGCCATTTGTTGAGAAATTTGAATCAAAAATGAAAATTACATCATGAACGTGGCGAATGCTCGCTTTCGACTAAGTAAAAAATTTAAATAGTATAGCAAATTTAATTCACAATGAAAAGAAATAAAAAAAAAAAAAAGCAAAAAAATTTCTTTTCAAGAGAATAAATTTTGCAGATGAATCAAGAGAAAAATGATTGCACGCAAGAACTTTTCTTTTCTTTTTTCTTTTTTTTTTTCTCTTTTTAATACATATATCGATATCAAATTTTTCAATATATAAAATTATATAAAATTTATTAGTACGTATACGTTTATTTAATATACTTCGAATTTTGCATATATATATATATATAAGAGTTACGTATAATTAAAAAATTAAAAAGAAGAAAAAATCAATTTGTCAATGATATCTCACTATTCGATAATATTATTCATTAGAAAATATTTCCCAAAAATTTTTATAAGAAAATTTAGAATATTATCATGTGTTATGTTCGTCAATGTATTATAATATTAAAGTATACTTTATAATGTCGATGTAATGCATTTTGATCGTCTACGTAAATTTTTTGATACAAATTCCATTTCCATCAGAAATTACAGTAATGTAATATTTTTCGTTCTGTTGATTGAATAAAGCATTCGCTGCGATCGTATCTAAAAGAAAAAAAAAAAGAAAAAAACCAATATCGTTGCAAAAGGTATCATATCGTTGATGAAACTTAACACTTTATTATTTATAACAAACGAACACACACGCGCACACACACACACACACACACACACACACATATATATATAATATCTAACGAACGAGTAAATTTTCAAACTATTCTTTTATAATTAAAAGTTTGTCGGAAAATATTAAAGAATCATTGAACTTTAATATAATGTTATATAAAATATACGAAAGATATTCAGAGATCGTTTAATAACTTTCATGAGAAAATTGTATCAATATCATTCAAATAAATTCATCGAAAGCAACCTTTTCCATTCGAATAATGTATTATAAGCTTAATAAATCAAAGAATATTGATAAAGTTATACATTTCTCAAGTTCTATATAACCTTTGTAAGAAATGAATGAATTGGCAGGGCGAGAAAATTAAAATCTTATTATGAATAATAAATTAATCTAATGGTATGCTAAAGGGATAAAATTTTATTATGAAGAATCGCAAAAATTTACATGGTATCAAAATTCCGATACGGTATGCATTCAAAAACTGACTTTAAAGGAAATTCCTTTATAAATATTAAATAATTCAAATTATTTGGGAAAAAAAAGAAAAAAAAAAAAAAAGAACAAAAGAAAAAAAAGAAAAAAGAAAGAATGAAGAAAAGGACAAAAAAGGATCAAGCATTACAGATACAAATAATTTATGGTGTAATTTTAAAATATTAATTTATAGGAATTTTGAAAGTAATCGTACTTGAAATTAAAAAAAAAATTGTATATATATATATATATATATATATATATATATATATATATATGTATATATTCATAAGATTTATATGATATTATGATAATTTCATATGAGGATTCAAATTTAAGAAGAAACGAAAAGATACGAAAGAAAAAATCATTGAAAAATAATTAGATAATCTAAAGTAATTATCATTAAAGCATAAATGATGTTATTTTATTATAATACATCATATGTTATTATTAATTGTATCGATTCAAATACGTATTGTTAATAATTGTACCTCATTAATTTGATTGATTTGTCTTTAACAATTCATTCGATCAATTTTTCTCTTTGCATCTTGATAGAAACTTTACGATCTAATTTCGATATAAATTAGCTAAAACGAGAGAGAGAAAGAAAGAGAGAGAGAGATAGAGAGAATCTCCGCTATATTTTAGTAGAATTTATATCTATAGGTAAATTATGTAAATCTATTCCTAAACAATTCATTTGAATGCCGTTTTTCTGATCATTTACTCCAAATATATATGTAAAAGCCCATCCTTATACTTAAATCCTCTATAAGCTTCGATTGAAAGATTATATTGCACATCGGATATATTTATCCTATTCTTCTTCGGGAAAAAAATTCTTTCCATATAAATTCTTTACGAAAATTACGTATTGAAAAATATAACAAATTAAAACCACAAATTAAAACAATTTATTAAATAGATAAGAAATAAAATATGAACGATACTTTAATGATCTATGCATTATTGAGAATGCATTATTAAGAATGAAAACGGAAAAAAAATAAAATAAAATAAAATAAAATAACAACATGAAATCTTCGGTAGTATCTATGGAAACAAAAAAAAAAAACAGAAATAAGAAAAAAATAATAAAGAAGATAAATAATCTTAGAAAAAAGAAACGAGACAATCCGCGAAGAAAAATATTTCTTTCTGATTAATCTAGATCACGTACATACGTACACATGTACAACGATCACTTGAAAAAAATGAATTATCTATTAAATACAAATTGCAGGATATTCGTGATCCTTCAAACTTTTTCTAAATGATCATTACAAGTCATTCGTAATAATAGTCATTTTAAATAATTAATATACGAACATTACCTAAACATAAGAAAAAAAAAAATATATATATATATATAAATAAAAGATCCATTGTTTTATAGATTAAGCAAAATTTTGATATAATAGTCGGATTAATATAATCCGGATAGGATTCATTGTATGCAGTGAATTAAACATACATCCGATATTTGGATACACAAATATATATACATATATATATATATATTTATTTATTTATAAATCTTTTTATAAACATTCTCCTCTGTTAATCATCTAATCGTATTACAATTAGTCGAGAATTTAAAACGTGAATAATAAAAGTTGAATCTAAAGCGAGATTTTAAATGATGAGTTGAAATCTTTAAAAGAGTCGAGTTTAAATGCAACAACGAAAAGTCGAGACATTGGTTATATCTCAATCGTCAAGATTATCATCATGAGCATAACGTTAAACGAAAATATCGTGTTATACGTATGAAATCTAAATCGAGAGTGAACCTCTCTCTCTCTCTCTCTCTCTCTCTCTCTCTCTCTCTCTCTCTCTCTCTCTCTCTCTCTCTCTCTCTCTCTCTCTCTCTCTCTCTCTCTCTGCCAAATAATTCGACAAGACAGCGGAGTCTAAACACGTCATGAAAATGTGACTCTGATCATTTCTTTATTGTCGAAATAAAAGATACGTATTATCAAAAATATTTTATATTACGGATAGGAAATAATTCTAAATTAATCCAATAACAATTTAAACGCAAATTAATATTAAACGTAAAACAAATTGTTATTTTAAATAAATTAATAAAAAAGAAAAAGGAAAACGTAATAGATCCTCCATTGATTTCCAACGTCAAACGAATTTTCTAAGCTATCTGTAATCCTAATCCTAACTACCTATATGGATCCCATACGAATCCACTCCTCTTCCCCTCTCCATACCTCTCTCGAGTTCTTATAAAGCAGTGCAATTGACGAGACCCAATCGAAATATCCTGCAGTACCTTATATCGATGATCGGCTCAATAGTGTCCGACGATCGAAATGTTATCGCTTTATCACATAGCACGGCGACTTCTTCGCAACCTCCGCCATCAATCAATCCTTAACCTTACAACATAAGGGGAGGTTCCGGTCTTCTAAGATCGTCGAAAGAAAGGTTGTTCTCTTAGATTGTTCTTTCTTTTCTTTTATTTTCTTTTTCTCTTTCTTTTTTTCTTTTATTTTTTTATTTTTTTATTTTTTTTTTTTTTTGATAACGAAATATTACTACAAGAACGACAATCTATGTTTTTCAATATGTCATAATATATATATATATATATATATATATATGTGTATATATAAAAAGGTTACTTTCAAAATGGTATGATCTTTTTTTTCTTATTTTTTCTGTTTTTTTCCTTTTTTTTTCCTCTCTCTTTCTCTTTTTTTCTTTTTTAAATATCAAGACAGTCCGCGTAATTTCTTTTGACAAAAATTCCTTTCAAACAATGCGACATACAGCTACACGCGACTTTAATACTGATAGGAAAAACGTATTTTTACGTCGAACGTATTTTTAAACTGTATGACATTTTTCGAGAAGGTGAACGTACGAAGTTCGAAGTAAAAAAAAAGGAAAGAAGAAAGGGGAAAAAAAATAAATAAATAAAAGAAGAAGAAAAAACAAAAGATCTTTCATCATTTTCCCTAGACATTTAAAAGATTGAACATCATTTTCTTTTTTGTTTTTTTTTTTCTTTTTTATTTTTTGTTCCTTTCTTTCTTCCTTTTACAAATTTCTCCCCTCACCCAAATTTTACTTTTCCTTAGAATTTAGTAAGTTTGAAAGAAGAAATAGAAAAAAAAAAAAAAGAAAAGAAAAGAAACTCAAGATAAAAACAGATTCAGTACACGTGAAGGAAAAAGGAAAAATTATATCGCTTTAATTCGAAGAAAGATCGATATTAATATATCGATCGATTAATTCTCTCGACATATTTGTCCCGATCAATTTGTAAAAAAAGGTAATATTTGTAAAGAAAAACGTCATTTCATAGTTTCCAACTGTCGATGGAGTGAAGGTTTATACGTTCTTGAATGTAGAGAAAAAAAAAACAAAAAAAAGAAAAGAAAGAAAAAAAGGCGGACACGCGGCAGCTGGCACTGAAAAGTCACTTATGACTTTGGTAATTTTTAGAATTTAAAAATTTCTTTGTAAACCCCGCTTGGTTATACCTCGCGCGTCTCTTTTGACATTATTTGTCGTGACACATCCATCCCAAACGCGTATATCTTTGTTTTCGTGTCATTGACTTCCTCTTTCATCTCACTTCTCTTCGCAATCTCTCTCTCTCTCTCTCTCTCTCTCTCTCTCTCTCCATCTATCTATCTATCTATCTCCTCTTATATTTACCATCTCGCGCGTTTATTGTCTACTTTGTCGAACGTTGTTTACATCGATTGGATTAAATCTCACCCCAATTTACAACACCTCAACACACCCTTTCTCTCGTCTCATGCGTTACAGTATCGATCGTAAATTATTTTTAGTTTTGAACGGTCTTAAGTAAATAAACGATACGTTTGTGTGAATAATTCGGTGAAAAGAAAAGGAAAAAGAAAAGAAAGAAAAAAGAAAAAAAGGAAAAAAGAAAATTGATATGAAACATTGAACTGAAAAGTTTCAAAGTGAAAAGAGGAGGGGGGGGAGGGAAAAAAGTGAAAGAAGAAAAGAAAGGAAAAAGGAAAAAGACTTTGTCAAAAGTTTTAGATCGTAACGCATAACCCCATAAGTTTACCAAACTTACATCACATTATTCTTAAAAACAATGATCCTACCAACAATATCATTGCGTTTTCAAATGATCGCAATCGTCCTCTCTCATTTATTCTATCATTGTAACGGAGAAGATAATTCATTTACTAAAGAATTTTCCAAACGATTAATTTCACGATCTTCTTCCATCTCTTTTTTTATCGCGATTGTAATGAAAGTAGAAAATCCAAGTTTAAAGTTCAAAAAAAAAAAAAAAAAAAAAAAAAAAATAATAATAAACAGGGTAACAAATTGTAACGATCAATTTAATACTTTTGACAGATTCAATTTAAACTTTTAATTGTAAAAGAATCTCTAAATAATTATTCCAGTTTCTGATTTAACATGACTCTCTGCTATTCTTATATCATGGGTATATTATAAAATTCGTCCTGACAAGTTCCGCGCGATAGAAAAATGAATGCAACTTTTTATGAAACAAGAAAAGAATTAATGAATAAATGAATGAATGAATGAATGAATGAATGAATGAATGAATGAATGAATGAATGAATGAATGAATGAATGAAGATTATTGGCATATCCCTTAATTTGCTTCTAAAGATAATAATCATTGAAAATCAGTCCAATTCTTGATATCTATTTAGAAAAATGAATAACATTAGGTTCCTGAATCTTCGAAAAGGGAGAAAAAGAAAAAAAAACAAGAACAAAAAAGAAACCACATTTTCCACTTTATACTTTTTATTAATTGAAAATTCCAAGTTTTTTTCCATTTTTAAATTATAAACAACAACGCTCATTGTCCCGTAACTTTTTGCCTTTTAATTTTGTCAAACTGAGCTCGTTAATATTTTAATATTTGAAATTCTTCGTGAAAAGAGAAAGAGGAACCTAAAAAAAAAAAAAGAAAAAAAAAAAAGAAAAAAAAGAAAAAAAGAAAAGGGGGGATGGGCAAAAAAAAAATCAATAGAAAGATTCCCAAAATACTGATCTATTTTGCGGCCGCCAAGAACGTATACTAATCTCGTTAATTTCGAAATAATAAAATGATCTCGTGCAGAAATCGTATATTTTGTCAAGATTATGCTACTACATACGAAATGATGATATTAACCAGAAGGAACCACGAAAACTTGGAAACTACGTAAAGCATATAGGTAAGAATAGGTTAATTTATTATTACATATATAAGAACGTTGGTTTCTCCTATTCCTATTACTTTCAAGGTTCTCTCTCTCTCTCTTTCTCTCTCTCTCTCTCTCTCTCTCTCTCTCTCTCACTCTCTCTATCTCCTACTTGTCTCTTCCAAAATTCGCAGATCGTAGTTTTGAAACTTTGCCTCCTGAATCTCCCGGTCTCTTTATTGCAAACTTCTTCGTTATTTCCTGAAAAACTTTGCACCGGGAAGAATAGTTTCTTCCTTTCATTGTTTTTTCCTTTTTGCTTGTTTTTTTTTTTGTTTTGTTTTCTTTTTCTTTTTCTGTTTCTTTTTCTTTTTCTTTTTTTCACTCTTCCTCCAAAACGTTCCTTTAATCTTCGATTTTTTTTCTTCCTTGCCAAAACTCATCGATATATAAATATAAACGAGAAGGTATCACGTGAAAGATCAAATAAATCAACTCGTTAATCATTCTATCTCGTATTTACGAGAAATATCTATCTACCAATAAGACTCGCGTATAGTTTCCTGCCATAGTAAAGTTCAATTTCTAATGCTGCTCACGTGACACTTTGATAGTTTTAGAAACAAATTCTCTCTCTCTCTCTCTCTTTCTCTCTCTCTCTCGTTCTCTCGTTCTCTCGTTCTCTCTCTCTCTCTCTCTCTCTCTCTCTCTCTCTCTCTCGCTCTGGTATTATTACTGTTCTGCTGATATTGCTGCTCTGCTGAATACTATTTCATTTATAAATGCGTTCGTTTCACGAACTTTCGTTACAAGAATGACAGGTGTTAACTCACATGGAATCGCCATCGTTGAGTCACTGGGATCGGGACTGTATTCCTCGTTTGGAAAATAGTCGATACTTGAACACTCGTATTCCATGCGCGAACCTGAAACATATCGAAGCGAAATATTTTCATTGTTCTTCTTTTTCTCCCTTCTTTTTTCCTTCCTTCTCTCTCTCTCTCTCTTTCTTTTTCCTTTTTTTTTTTTTTAATTCATTTCCAATATCTTCTTATCTAGATCTAAAGAAAAAGACAAAAAAAAACAAAAAAGACAGAATATTTATTCGAGGAAATATTACATGGGAATAAAATTTTCATAGAAATAATATGAAATTTTTAAATCTATAACTTTCTTAAGCATAATAATCTAATTTCTTTTTCTTTTCTTTTCTTTTCTTTTTTTTCGTTTCTCTTCACTCTTTTCTTTTGCTTTTCCTTCGAAATCGAATGTAGAATGAATTGTTTTATGAATTGTATCTTGTGGGATGCGATCGACGATTAAAATTCAAAAAGGATAAAAAAAAATAGGAAAGAAAAAAGTAAAAAAAGAAAAGAAAAGAAAAGATATTTCGTATGTAAATAAAAAGATGCTCGTAAGTGTAAGTATTTCTTTTTTTTTTTTTATCTTATATATATTTACAGAGATACAGGGTACCATTGTAAAGTCATTATTATTAACGATATACTTCATCTTTCATTGGTATTATAAACAATATATAATTTCTGTTATTAAATAATGGATATCGCATCTCTCATTTTAATGGGTTTTCTCCAATGTTTCCATAATACCATGGAGTTTCATTTTGCTTCGTAACTTTTTAATAACATTCAAGAGACTATGAGGCGACACGTTAAACTTTTTTAACAAGTTAACAATGATCTTATTAAATATTTACCGTAAAAGTAAACGGACAACTAGTTAAACACGAGTATGAACGTCTAACTTTAAAATAAGGTCGTATGTATAAACTTTTCTAATATGTTATAAATTTCAAAATCTGACACTGCAATATTTTCTACGTATTACGAAACCAATCTTATATATGTAAATACGTACATGCATACATACATACGTACATGCATACATACATACATACATACATACATACATACATACATACATACATACATACATACGTACATACATATATATATATATATATATATATATATATATATATATATACTTCTGCAAGTATGTACAAATAATGACCAAACGAAAGTATTATAAACTTTTTTCATCGACATCATTTTATCTAGTTATTAAATAAACTTTTTCCTCGGATATATTAAAGAGGAATGATGATAATAATAATAATAATAATAATAATAATAGTGAAAACAAAAAGATAAAAATATTAATTTTTTTAAACGAAAACAAGTAAATTACGATTTTTAATTAAAAAGGAAAAAATAAATTGTGAAAAAAAGTACGATAACTTATACGAATTCTTTTACGTTTCAATATTTATTTGAAATATCCACATCATTTAATAAAAAATAAATTCACGTCGATAGTCATAAAGATAATAGAAAAGAAATAACTTTTCATCGTTGAATTTTATTTTCAAACAAGAAAAAAAAAGAAAAGAAAAAAAGAAAAGGAAAAAGAATTTCATCAAATTTTTGTTATATTTTGTATATCTGAACTCTGAATAAAAAAAAAAAAAAAAAAAAGAAAAAAGATATTCGAAAAGTGATTGATACGACATGGTATTCATCAAAAAAAGAAAAAAAAAAAAAAAGAGAAAAAAATATCTGATGATTTACGCACGACTTTAACAAGCCACGTATGTATATATTTTTCTTCTATTGTTATTAAAATTAGAAGAAAAAAAAAAAAAAAAAAAAGAATTACAAGGAGAAAAGAGATCATTGATACATATTCACGATTATCCATTACATGCATTATTGCAAAAACCATCGATAAAACCGAAAATAACAGAGATAATTGAGATGTTAATAATTATTGACTCACCCTATACATATATATAATTTCTCATACATTCATAATGTTTTACGAAACGAAACGAGAGCAGAACCATAAAAAAAAAAAGAAAAAAAAAAAAAATTGAAAAAAGCACCAAAAAAGAAGAACAAAAAATATCGGACCTATCCTTTGTAATTTGTTCTCTCCCCTCTCTCTCTCTCTCTCTCTCTCTCTCTCTCTCTCTCTCTCTCTCTCTCTCTCTCCCTCGCTTTCTCCCTCTCCCTCTTTCTCTCTATCTCTATCTCTCACAAAAACTAATATCTTAACCCTCCCATCATCGTACAGTTTTCTTCCTCTCAATAATTCCTTCCTCTTTCGTAGCTTCCTTATTGTTCTCACGATTTTAACGAAAAATTATTATATTAAGTTCTTGCAAAGAAGTTACCCCCGATTTACTTTCTCCTTTTTCTTTTTCTCTCTTTTTTTTTTTTCTTTTTTCACTTTTATTCGTGGCGTAGCTGTTACCCGACTGACCGTTGTCGTCGTCGTCGTCGTCGTCGTCGTCGTCGTCGTAGTCGTAGTCGTCGTCGTCGTCGTTGTCGTCGTCGTGCAGGCGTTAATAAAAGCGCCAAGAAATCCAGTTACCGTGAGGAAAAACCAATTTCTACCAGTTTTCCACGAGAACCCTTCTCGACGCCTTCTTACGGGCGATTTAATTCGTCCTTTTTTTTTCTTTCTTCCTTTTTCCTTATTTTTTTTTTTGTTGCTTCTACTTTCCTTTTTTTCTTCTTCCTCTCTCTCTCTCTCTCTCTCTCTCTCTTTTTCTCCTTCTTTCCAACGAAATTACCCTTCGGCGCGGATAAATGCACGGAGCGTGAATTTTTTCGCTTATCTCTCTGATCGTCTTTTCGTTATAATAAGGAATAAGATTCGAGCCGTAAGTAATTAGATGTTACAAAAAGTAATTTTACGTATACCTAAACCCCGAACATAATAATAATAATAATAATACCGGTTCGCATAATACAATGCAAAAGTTACGTCAACTTTGATATCGTTAATAAAATTAATATTTTTACGTTGTAATAATAATAGATATATAATATTCTATTATAAAGTAATTAATGTTTAATAACGTTTATATACTGCTAAAGCTGATACCATCGAGAATTGTAAATCTTTACATTTTTTATTAATACATATATATATATATATATGTTTTTAAATATTACATATTTGTTTAAAATTTACAACTAGAGTTTGTTATGCATTAGAAAGTATAATATTGCATAAAACTTGATAATACGAGTTGATTTCATTATAAATATTGAAATGCATATGAATCAAAGCAAAGATCAAAGTTTATTATTATTAAAAATGTAAAATAAATATTTAATATTGACACTAATATATTTGTCATTTTAATCTTCATTTATATAAATGAAGTTGTATATACAGATTGACTATATATATTTTTCTTGTTAAGAACAATAAATAAATAAAAGTTTCATCAGTTCATATGATTAATATTCTAATAGTACGAAATAAAATATCGGACAATCGAAATCAAAAAACTGAAGGTTTAATCTAAATTATTAAACAAGTATAAGCTTAAAATTAATAATTATATATATACATATATATATATATATATATATATATATATATATATATATATAATCGATTATTTAGATTTATTTATATTTATAAACGCGCTATACAAAAATACGATTTCTACGTCTGAATTACTAATTTAAAATATACAAAACGATTAATTCCTGAATGTCGAATGGAACAAAGCGAGAGAGAAAGTTAACAAAAAAGAAAGAAAGAAAGGGAGAAAGAACAGGAAAAAAAGTACAAAAAATTAAAAAAAAAAAAAAAAAAAAAAAAAACAAGGAAGAAAAAAATAAGAGAGAAAAAAAGGAGAAAAAGAATTTTTCCTCGATCGAACATCTTCCTATACGTCCTGCTTAAAGCTTCTAGTTTCCTTGCCTACTCCATTGCTGATTTCAAATCCCAGAGCAAGAGGTTCAAGATCGTTCGACCGCAATAAGAAGCTATCCCGCTGTCGAGCGCCTGTGCTCATCGGTAAATGGTTTCCTTTCATTTCTATTCCTCCGCTTTTTTTTTCTTTTTCTTTTTCTTTTTCTTTCTTTTTCTTTTCTTTTTTTTTATCCTTCTTCTCCTCCTCTTTCTCCTTCTCCTTCTCTTCTCACCGTTCATCCAACGGCATAGCCAAGAGGCATCGTTCCGACGCTCGTTCGTAGACTCGTAGAAATGAATCGAGACCGACTGATGGGGTTAGCAGAAGGAGAGTGGTTTCCGGTGCCCCGGGTAACGAGTCATTTCCGACCTAGTGTGTTCCTCCCTTCTTCTTCTTCTTCTTCTCTCTCTCTCTCTCTCTCTCTCTCTCTCTCTCTCTCCTCATTTCAACAAAATCCTTCGAGTTACCGAGTACCATTCCTAACAGCCATTTCTATCTGAGAAACATAGGCCGGAATCCGGCTAAAGCTTTACGAACGTTACGTATTAAGGACCTAATGTCCTTTACTATTCTCTCTCTCTCTCTCTCTCTCTTTTTCTCTCTCTCTTTAAATCTTTTTATCATACATCTGTCTTGCTCTTTCGATACGACTTTTCGAAATATCGTACTTACCACAACAATTTTTCTTTTTTTTTTTTTTTTGCTTCTTCGAAAGTTTACAGTAAAAAATAAAAAATAAATAAATGGCAATTATGTCAGAATCATAAATAAAATATTATTATTCGAATATTATGAGCGAACATTATGGATAAGTTATCGGAATTATATGAATAATCGTAGATATATTTTGATTGAAACGAATAGAAATATTTTCAATCATTTTTAGATATTATATAGAAATTTTCAATAAAATTTGTTTTTCTATCTCTTAGATATTACCCACGTATCGCTTTGATTTACAAGATACTCGTGAAAATATTTTTCTTCTTTTCGAGGTCGATTTCATTCGAAGTTCGAGTTATAACAACTCTGAACATAACTCTGGTGCAATACAAATATCAATTGAAATCAAACTCGAACTTAACGTAGATTAATTGAAATTATATCGAAATTCGAATTAATTGGGATCTTAGATTTCGCTTAGATTTGATTTATATCTTGGATAATATAAAAAGGAAAAAAGAAACA